TTTCATCTCGGGGTAAATAAACCCTGAGCAGGGGCTGCGCGGCACGCTGGGGTGCCGCCGGGCCCGACTGCGTGTTTACCCAAGCCGTGGCTCAGGAAGGGATAGTTGACAAAGCAGAGTTACAGGTAGTGAAGGAGAGAAGAGGCTTTGAATCTGTTTGCGACAGGAATTAATGATTAACGCCGCGCTCTGCCATAGCAAAACAAACCCCAGAGCCCAAGGGATGCTGCGGGCTGGGAGTGGGGCAGGTCAGCAAAGCCCTGGGCGGGCAGGGCTGCTTTCAGCACCGGGTTAAGGTGTGCTGGCAGGCGGCAAATGCCCAGGGGCTTGCAGCTGGCTGGGCACAGCGTTTTGGGGGAGCCCAGCTGGCCGAGTGAGGGGGCAGCAGGGTGGGGGATGCTCCATGCAGGGTGTCTGGGGCTGCCACATTTGGGCTCTGCAGCTGAAGCACAGCACATCCTGGAGCCTGTCGCTGTCGCCAGTGCAGCTCAGGGTGATGCTCCACATCACTGGCGAGCCCACCCGAGCCTGCTGCAGCCGCGCAAGCCTGCCCGGCCAGCTCAGTGGCCAGAGCCCAAACGTCTCAGGGCCGGTTTGTTTTCTGTCTCATCCCTGCGGTTTCCTCCCAGCCCGCGCTCAGGAAAAACGTCTCAGCGACTCCGGAGCAACCACGTGGCCTTGCTGCCATCCCCACAGGACCAACATGATGTAATCATGAGCCCTGAGCCGTGATGCAGAATCACTCCACTCCGGGCCGCCACGCTTATTGGCTGCGTGGCCCTGGTCCTACAGGCGGGGTTTTCCCTACCCCGCAACCAAGCTTACCCCGGGGAGCCCCACCCCGCGTGGCATCCATCGGCCTCCAGACCCACCCCGTCCCACGGAGCTGCCGGGGTGCTTAATTCTTCCCCGTTGCAGAGAGGATGTTGCTTTGTTTGCTTTGGTCCCCTGGAGCAGGGGAGAGCATGGTGTGTGGGTCCCCGGGGTGCACATCCCCTCTGGCTCGGAGGGGAGGCTTGGGGTCGGGGAAGGGGCCCAGCAAAATCCGGCTTTGCCCGCGGCTTGCGCGAAAATAAAGCCGTCTTTATGCGCCTGATTTTCCCCACTCCATGTCTCACAGGGAAGGCTGTGGCCTGGGTCTCGCGTGGGTTGTGAAACGTGTGTGACCCTCACGTTTGCGTGAGGCTGCCCTAAAGCGTTGCGGGGCCGTGGCACATCCATCGCCCCGGCCCTGGAAACCTGCCCTCGCCTCCTGCGGCAGGCGGACTGCTGCAAGGGCTGTCCTGAAAGCGAAGGGGAACCTCCCGCCGCCACGGAGCCCGGCTTCTCCCCGGTGACCCAAATAAAAATGTGGGGAAGGACACGGCCCCCCTGCACGCCCCATGGCAGGTTGTGGATCTCTTGAGGGGGTTTTTTAAGTAACATTTGCTGTGGGCGAGAGATGGCTGCCAGTGGCCTGTGTGCGGGTGACACGGAGCCGAGCCAGGACTCCCTGGGCTCGTCCCCAGCTCGGGCACAGGTTCACGTCCCCAGCTTGAGGAGGCTCGAGTGGGGATGAAGGTGCAGAGGGACCCGCAGGGCTGTGCACCCACGGCTCTGCCACTGCCACATGCATGCCCGGGGTGCTCTGCATGGTCCCCAGTGAGCCCCGTGTTGCACCGGGGTGCCTCGTGCCATGCGGGGGATCCCCATATTGCACAGGGGTGCCCGGTGGAAGCCAGTGAGGCCGGGGGGCGGTTTCATGGTGCAGCCAGGTTTCATTAATTCACAGGTAGCCTCAGATTGTGCTCGGTGGTGCAGAAGAGGACAGGGCAAACTTGCAGGGGGCCGATGTTACAGCCCATTTTCTTTTCCTAAACTATTCCCAGCAGTACGACAAACCCCGCGGCGCTGCAGGGCACAGCGGCATGGCCTTGCCCTGGCGTGAGACCCCCACGCTGAGACCCACCGCCCGTGGGCAGCCACAGGGCTGACCCTGATGGCAGCAGCGGCTTTCCCGGTTCCCACAGCTCACGGCACCCAGGAGGGTGTGTGGGCTCAGCTGGGGCTCACAGGGCAGCGTTGGCCCTTCGGCGTCCCCTAACCAGGGTCACGGGAGCTTCTCCCACCCTGGGCCGTGCCACGGTCAGACAGCAGTGCTGGGACTTGCTCCGGACCCCGGAGCTGGGAGGGGGAAGGCAGATATCTGGAAACCATAGGAGCCTCTAGAGGTGACGCAGTGGCCCTGGTATGTGGCCTCCATGAGGTGCTGGGGGCTACAGCAGCCACGGCCACCACCTTCTCCCCATGCTGGCCCTCCTGCCTGTTCCCACGTGTGCCCCGAGTGGTATTTAATGCCCAGCCCAGGTATTTGGTGCCTGTCCCCAGGGCTCGGTGCCTGTCCCCCAGGCTCGATGACTTCCCCAGGGGGCTGCTGCCCTGCCCGGGGGCTGCAGCCTGCCCTGCTCCGGTCCTGGAGCACCGGCTCCTCCCCGCCC